TCTATACCTTGTTTTCTCAGATTCTCCAGCATCGGCAGTTCCTACTATATCTGGGAGAATGGAATTTACTCCACACGGGAAGCAAGATGTGAGGAAGTGTAGTCAAGGTAACTGTGAGTCAGTGCATTTGCAGTGGCTACTAGTGGACAACCTATCCCCAGAAATGGAAACAGAAAACTCAAGGGAGGGAGGGAAGGAAAGTGTCAGTGATTAAGATGAATTAGAGAGAAAGATGTAAATTGGAAGCAAAATTGATGAATATTTCCAATTCTGGATGACAGCAGGAAGCAACATTGATTATGTTACTAAAGTAGCACAGAAAGTTACAGCAGAAAGTCAGGAGTAGGAGTAGGATTGGCACAAGGAATGTTCCACATACCTTACAAAGAGACAGATAGACTGGGACCATTTTGCATATTCACTGCCACACCTTTGATTTAAGAGAATCTGGGATGAGTTAAAGCAGAAATTTTCAAACTAACAATAGGCTAGACAAGGCAAAGGAAGGTGGTGGTGGATGGGGACTGCCCAAGCCTCTTTACAAGGAAGAAACAGACAGCCTTCAAACCATCTTGATAGGGGAATAAACGCGTAGAAGGATTGCACATCCATAGTGAAGGGGCGGCAACTGAGGTCAATAAACTGGAAATTATGAAAAGATGCAAAGCATTAGTGAACTATGAACGTAAGTGGGAACAGACTGGATGAGAAGAGAAGAAAAGAGAGAGTCAAGGCAGGAAGAAATACGCTTCGTGGAACAGCGACATGACGAAATGGTGGGCGTGCCGTGGTAACCCTCTCTGTGAATTTTGGGAGGAAGTGGGTGGTATAGGTTGGGGGACTGCAAAGTGGGATCTGTGGAGGAAGATCTAAAGAGATGAGGTCAGTGACAATCCTGGAAAGTCGTGTCACTTCAAAGCTGCATAACCTCTTCCATTCCGTCCTTGCCCCACGCCCCCCAACCCCCTTTAAAATTGCTTATTTGGCACATATTGTCTCTGCTCAAGTCCAAATTCCCTCCAGTCTCGGTGATTCATCCACCACCGGAATACAATAACATTTTTATCAATTTTCTCTATACCTGCCCCAAGGCTATTTCATCTTTTCTTATACATAGCGTTCACAACACTGCAGCTAGCTACTGATTTATGAAAGATGAGATGTTTACGTGCTTTTGCAATCAATATTCCTATTTTTAAAGTTTATGATCTTTCAACAACTTGACCAACTTGTCCTGCCGCTTTCAGTACACTTATTACTGCAACCCTTTAAAAATTGATCACTTCAGGTGCTATTGACTTACCTCTTTCTTCTTCCCACGTTGCATCACTTCATACTTATTTGTGTCAAATTTCACCTTCTATGCATCTTCCCTGTCTGTCTCAGTCTTGTGTGAGTTTGTTACTCATTCTTTATTTCATTTCTGAATTCACATCTGAAAACCTTGCAACTTTCAAAATTACGTCCTATTCATACAACCACAGGAAATAATATATCAACCAGTGTCCAGATACTAACTCCTGGAGATCAGCATTGTATAGCTCTCTTTAGTCAGAAAAGCACCCCTACACTCAGGACCTATTTCAATCCACATTCCATGGGGTCCAATTCACCTACAAATCAATTATGCGGTACTTAATCGACACCTTTTGGAAGTATAAACAACCCTCCAACCATTTCAAGAGTGACAAAAGCATTTTAGATGATTTGCAGTCTTACCTTAAACAATTGACGCCCTATATCCCCTTCTTCCCGAATTTGTGCAAGCTCGTTCTCCAGTGTCACACATTGCTCCCTATACATGTCCGCCAGTCGATGTGCTTGGTTTACTTGCTCCTCAAGCGACTAGGAAAGACAACTACAGTTAGAGGATGCACTGCAAACAGAGGTGATCTTCAGGGATGAGATGTTCCTGGTAAAGGATAGATATAGAAATCCTTGGAAGATGATAGAATATGAAAAATCATACGAAAGGTAGGTCATAGAACACGTACCTTCTTCAAATGAAAAGCAAGCCAAATACAGTAAGTTAACGTAGAAACACAGAAGATAGGAGCAGGAGGAGGCCATTCAGCCCTTCAAGCCTGCTCCACCATTCTTCACAATCATGGCTGATCTTCCAATGCAATAGCCTAATCCTGCTTTCTCCCCATAATGTTTGATCCAATTTGCCCCAAGTGCTATATCTAACCATCTCTTGCATACTTTCAATGTTTTGGTATCAACTACTTTCTGTGGTAATGAATTCCACAGCCTCACCACTCTTTGGGTGAAGAAATGTCTCCTCATCTCCATCCTAAATGGTTTATCCCGAATTGTCAGACTGTGATCCCTGCTTCTGGACACACCCACCATCTACCCCATCTAGTGCGATTAGAATTTTATAAGTCTCTATGCGATCCCCCCTCATTTGTCTGAACTCCAGCGAAAACAATCCTAACATAGTCAATGTCTCCTCATACATCAGTCCTGCCAATCCTGGAATCAGCCTGGTAAACATTTGCTGCACTCCCTCAAGAGTAAGAGCATCCTTCCTCGGAAAAGGGCACCAAAACTGCATGCAATACTCTAGGTGTGGCCTCATCAGGGCCCTGTATAACTGCAACAACACATCCCTGCTCCTGTACTCTAAACCACTCAGAATGAAGGCCAAGATACCATTTGCCTTCTTTACCACCTGCATGCTTAAGAGGAGAAGATGGAAATGAGAGAGGCCAAAAGAGAATGTGAAAATTGAATAGCAATTAGCAAAAAGGAACCAAACTATCTTCCAGAGACAGGGTGGGAGATTTGGTGATAAAAGATGTGATATATGTTTAGAAGAGCAGAGCAAAACTAGAAAACTTACTACTTTGTACGATATTTACTCAGGATATAAAATATCAAAAGAATTGGAGAATGGTAGAGGTAATGGTTCAGACAGAAGTTGAGAAACAGAATTTTTTTTCACTTTTGAATGTGTTATGGGTATTGTCAGCCAGTTATTGCCCAGCCCTAATTGCTCTCAAGATGATGGTAGCGAGCTGCCTCTTTAAGCACTGTGTCCAAGTGGTGTAGGGACACCTACAGTGTTATTAAGAAAGACTTCCAGGATGCTGAGCCAGTGACATTGAGGCAATAGAGAATATAGTTTCAAGTGAGGAAGGTGTTTGGCTGTTCGCATGCATTTGCTGCCTATTGTCTTTCTCAGTGATAGAGTTCAGAGTTCAGAAAGTGCTGTTGGGAAGGTGTTCAGCCTTGCTAAGTTGCTGTACTGGAAGGCTGACTTAAAGTGATTAGGTCGCCTGATCTAGATGACTTGTATTCCAGGTTACTAAGTGGGATGTGGCCAGTGGAAGAGCTTATGCATCTTCATGCAGAGAAGATACCAGAAAGCAAATTTTGTTCAAGAAACAGTCAGTCCTTATGACTACAGGCCAATCAGTGGTGGATAAGATCTTAGAAAAAAAATCAAAGGAAAATAAATCAACTGGCATTTGGAGGTTTGAGTTAATTAAGGAGCGATAACTTGGTTTAGTAACAGACAGATCATGTTGGACTAATCAAATTGAATTTTTGGTGAACAAACAAATGGGGTTGATGAAGACAAAGTAATGGATCAGAGATAGTAGGAACTGCAGATGCTGGAGAATCTGAGACAACAAGGTGCAGAGCTGGATGAACACAGCAGGCCAAGCAGCATC